TTTCATTTCACAGATACTTTTCCCCCGAGATAGTGAGAGGCAAGGGGACTCACAGTAATCAAACACCCCGAGATAGTGAGAGGCAAGGGGACTCACAGTAATCAAGCACCCCGAGATAGTGAGAGGCAAGGGGACTCACAGTAATCAAGCACCCCGAAGGGAACAAATTACTACTACGTCCACGTCGTTGTTCCTGGGTAAAGCTAAAAGTAGTCTAAGAATGCATTGCAGGAGGGTAGACGGTGTCACATGATAGCATTTTCAAAAATATCAAAAAATTTACTTTGATTTTCCTAATCTGATGTGTATTTTTTGAGATATTACCATTTTTTAACAATTTTCAACTCATTTTCATTTTTTCCGATTACAGCGCCATATCTATCATGAAACAAAAAAAATGTCTCATACAAAAGTTACATATTTTTTCACGGAGAATCCAAATCTGCAATAAAAAATAAGGGGTTCTATTTAAGATTTCAAAGTCACCCCCCTCCCGCCCCCAGGGATGGTGCAGGGGGGTCGAGCTTTATGTTAATGGATGACCTTCTTCGAGGTGAACAACTTTTATTGCAACTTTTTTTTAATCCGATTTGTATTTTTCCAAATATTCTGAAAAACAGTTTTAAATGCCTCACTCTGTATAAATAGCTGTATGGGGGTAATTACGCCAAATTGTGTATGAGAACCCAGCGAGAAATGATGTCGAATCGACGTCAGTTCGACGGTGTCGATGTCGATTCGACGTCGTTTCGACGTCGATCGACGAATCATTTCTCACTGGGAAGTATCCATACCATAACTGTATTGTATAATTCTATGTGATTATACCTATATATAAAAAATACTTAAGAGAGATCGAAGAAAACTAACAATTCTTGTATAGCTTGCACTAGCTTCTCGGCCATTTCAAAATACTTAATCATCAGATATTTTCGTATCATTCAATTGACCCGTGTCAACTCGCTGTCGGATCAGATCTTTCGCCGGCTTACCACTTGCTTATACTAACTTATACTCTTTGGTATTTAGAATAATTATTTCTTCTCATCGACAAAGGAGCGGCGGCAAAAATGGAGTTTCCTCAGACATCAGGCAATTGGCGAATCTTTCGTTTACGTCTTCCGTTTGTACAATTCGCGATGCGAGAAAAGTCGCCGGCGGGAAGGATGGTGTACAATTACTATAACGTTACCGGGCCTTTTCTCATTTTTTTACCGGACGATTCTCGGTCTTGGACGGAACAACCGTCGGGCGAACTTTTGTTATCAGCGCGGTACTCGTTTACGGCGCTAGATTAGTGGGATCATTGCGGGATAGACGAGAATCAGACTGGAATATCGTCCGGCACAATGATATGTCTTGACAGAGCAGTTCGGACATTAAGTGCAGAGAGTGTCGAAACTTTAGTGCAGACGATCATTTTGACGCGTGCGTAGAGGGGATGATATCACTCGTATACCTTTCTCTTTCGCCAGAGAGAAGCCTGAAGAGCGGCCACGCCGTAGGGTTATATCTAATCTTATATCTATCGTTAATAATAAAAGTCAACGTAGAAATTATGTGTCGCAATATCAGACGTTTCATAATTTTAAATGTGATAAAATTCTGATATACTAATGTTTGTGATTGATGTAATGATTGTAAAAAATATGTCATAAGCAGTCAAATATACATATATGGGTATCATATTACGAATAGTCAAACTAATGTCAAAATTATGTCACGATTTTGACATCAAGAATTAAAGCATCAAAAATTTATGCAACTTGACATCATTTTGACGAACTAAAATTTGATTATATTTTGACATCATTTTGACTTTTTTGTTCTCCTTGGGTTGTCGCGATTATCAGTTACCCCTCGTACAAAGGCTCCGTCTATAGATGTCTATGTCTATGTGTCACACCGACTTTGCACTAACACACGTACAAAAATCCTGTGATTGGTCATAATAAAAACATGTCGGATGCGCAGTATACGGATCGGAACGAACGTGAAACAAAAGAGCGAGTGGGCATACTGGTTATACTGTGCTGCAGTTGCGTGTGAGGTGTGTGGACGAGCGTTGTCATGTTGCAAGACGGTATAAATTCTTCTCAATACATACAGACTCTAAAACACCTCCGACGTCAAGTTTGTCGTGTTAGAGGCAGCCTGGAGCCAATGCAACTGCAGAGACTCTGCGAAACCTGTGAAATTTAAACAGATTCCACACCTTCCTTACTCCCCCGATCTTGCGCCTTGTGACTTTTATTTTTTCCTCTACTCAAGAGAGACCTCAAGGGTAATCATTACACTTGGGACGATGAGATGAAGACTGCATGCCATGCAGCTGTCAAGTCCTGGATTCGAGAAAAGTCGGAAGAATTTTTCAGTGACGGAATGAAAAAACTTGTTACACGTTGGGAGAAATGTGTTAACCTTAACGGTGACTATGTTGAAAAATAAATACATATATGATTTTGAACTTTGACTATATGTATAATCATGGACTGCTAGTTGTCGCTTCAGGCTGTAATCAACATCACGAGCGCCACCATAGGATAAGTGGCAGAATCCCGGTACTTCAATGACATATTTTGTTTGTAGCACATCTATATTCATCAACTTAGTGCCTTCGGTATGGTATTGTCGGTATTGTCACAGTATATCCTGTGGTATCATATACCGAACGTGCCTAAGATTTCAACAGTTTGTGTATATATGCTTTATACAAAATGTTAATATATTGTCATATAGAAGGATGCAATTCCACAACATATAAGAAAGAAAAAAATAAAAATAAGTTCTATTTTTTCGGGTAAGTTAAGTTGATCTTTCCTGACAATCTCGTACATTTCAAAAGATTTTGTACTTGAAAATAATTATTAAACATTATTTTATTAGGGACCGGTTGTTCCGTCAGATAAGCTTACTGTCAGGTTAGGTATATATACTTGTCTCTTTCTTTAGATGTTATCTGAAAGAAATAAAGATATAGTTTAACCTGAAAGTAAATTACTCGATGGTCGGTACAACCAAAGTCTTGATGTATTACATTACTCTTGAAAAGTTGATGTTACACTATAAAATAAACATTAATGTATTAATTTGATTGGTATTACAGATTTCCAACAAACCTGATTCTTAGAAAGAAGTGGATAGAAGCACTTCTGGCTTCTGGTCAGAGTGTACAACGTGTGGGACAGATAAAAAAGTATAGTCGAATATGCAACTTGCATTTTGCAACAGATTGTATTGAAAAAAATGGCTTGTCATATGTTCGCTTGAAACCAAATTCTGTACCAACAATATTTCCCAATGCACCAACAGCAAGGTATTAATATACACATAAAAGTAAATACATTTTTGAATTTTATTATATTAATTATAAGCTTGTACATTAAAACTTATGTTTTTAGTGTGGCTGATATAAAAAACATTGAACCGACACTATCTCTTGATACACCGGCAACAAGGTATTGTTATATATAAATAAATGCGTTTAAATCTTATTATATTTAATTATATGTTTGTACATTAACATTGTTATGTTTTTAGCGTGGCTGATATAAAAAATATTGACCCAATGATATTTCCCGATGCATCGACAGCAAGGTACTAATATATAAATAAATGCGTTTAAATTTTGTAATGAATTATTTAATTGTGTGTTGTATTAAATTATATGTACATTAAAACTTACGTTTTTAGCGTGGCTGAAAATATTGAGCCGACAAATGCACCACTTTCAAACATGGAAATTGATCAACATGAAGAGACAAGTAACACTTTATCAAAACGAATGTGTTATGCAGGTGACATAAAAATAGAAACAGTTGGAAGCATGTCACCAAGAACAGTAATGAAATCCATGACAATATTAAAGAAGACATGCAAAGAGAAAAATAAAATAATCAAACGTTTGAGAGTACAACTATTTCGTCAAAGAAGGAAGATTAAAAATTTAGAGACTTTATTGTGTGAATTACGAACAAAAGGTCTTCTTTCTTCAACTTCATCTGACGTTATACAGGTATGAATAATATTAAGAAAAACAATATTAATGAAACATCCGTTGACTAAGCATGTATAATAATATTTATATAATTGAAAATATTTGATATTTTTTCAGATAATGAATTACAAGAGCACGCGATGAGCATACAAGTTACATATGGAAGATAAAAATTTAATACATTAGTAAGTGACATAAATATGTTCATTGACAACTATTAACCATTACCTAATAATAAATTCTATTTTCTTTTTAATTATAAATGTATAATTTTTGTTTTGAAGTTATAGAATTTATTGTATAACGTTATTATTTTCAAAGACATAACTTCACTAATAAGTTTTTGTTTTTCAAGACGTTGTGAAGTGTTTTGTTTCTTTTAGAAGAGATTTATATGCATAAATGATAACTATAAACCTTTATACTAAGCTTTTTTTTAAGAATTATAAAATTATTTATAGCTCAGTTATTTTTGAAAAGTTATGAAAACTGTGATAGATAAAAGTATTATGAAGAATATGATATAATAGATGAAAAGTATGTGATAAGTAAAAATATTGTACATGTATACTATACATATAATATATGTGTATATTTGTGTTCTCTGCTATAATTATAGTTTCCTAGCACAACGTTTAGTTCTTTGTACTTATAGTGTATACATATATATTATATATTGAAAAACTGAATAAGAACCATTTTTTGAAAAGATTTACGCGTGTGTGCACAATGCTGATAATTTAATGTTCAAAATGCTTGCACAATGTTCGCACAGCGTGTTGAACATGACGTGCCACCACTGTGCTCATCAGATGCAGGGTTAGCTGGATGTCACATGCAATGGCTGTGTTCTCCAGAAGTTAGCGCTTAATAAGCGCTTTATGCTAATTGGATAGATCTTGAAGAATAGCTCTATTTCAGCACAGATCTGAAAGTATAATCCAATGAACGCAAAGCGCTTAGCAAGCGCTAACTTCTGCTGGACACAGGCTATAGCCCAGGTAGAACAGAAAAGTCATAATGATATCATTAGGATGTCATCATGACATTATTTGTCACTTAAAAGTCACTAATAAAAAAATGATGTAAAAATGAAAAAGGAATCGTACACTATATTATAGATAAAAGCGTCCTTTGGTTTTTAAAATATTTATATCGTTTTAATATACATGTTGTTGAAGTAAAATATTGTTTATTAGTAACTTTTAAGAGACAGATGTCATGATGACATCCTAATGATATCATTATGACTTTTCTGTTCACAAAATGCTCCTAAAAAGTGTATCGAATGACATCATCATGATTTTTCCTAAATCAAAAAATGAGTTCTACTTGATGTCATTATGATATTATTATGATTTTGTGTTCTACCTGGGAGCCACGTTCAGCAGGCACAACTGTTGAGTGAGCGCTCAATGATTTCTTAACATGATTGGCTGGATCTAAAAGTATTAGCCAATCATACTGAGCGCAAAGAGGATCGGATAGAGTGGAAGCTGGCCGTGCACCGCGATTCGTGCCATCTGGCAGTTCGGAGACGCACTACGTGTAGTGTGTCACCGTGCAGCTTATATCACTTTTTAACATTTATATATTCTCGAGTGTACGCGATAGCCGTGTGCGTTAGACGTCGGACCGTCATCCGCGCGAGCCGGGTTCGATTCCCGGCGAGCAAGATTTTTTTTCTCGATATATTGAAGAGTAGGGGGATTTAGGATGGCCTCTGAGCTGGTAGATGGCTCTGAAACTCGGCCACGCTATTTAACATTGTGCTCTTATGGCAGCTTCCACTCTATCCGATCCTCTTTGACTGAGCGCTCACTCAACAGTTGTGCCTGCTGAACGTGGCCATTGATAGCATGCTTTTACAAGCGTGCGTGCATTATGCGGCCATCGTGCCAACATTTGGTTACTGCCCTTATGAAAAAATACACTCAATCATACGTTGACGGTCCGAAATAACCATCAAATTGAGTGTAAACCTTCATAATCGAGTGTTTCATGAAGGTTTACACTCAATTTGATGGTTATTTCGGACCGTCAACGTGTGATTGAGTGTATTTTTTCATAAGGGTGGGCATGTTGTATAAGCAGGATCTGCTCGATTTGTCGTCAATCTGCTGTCTAACCATGTTGTCAAGATTTGTTATATTTCTGTTGATGTTCTACCGACATCATGTGATATATCAGAGCCTGTATCAAATC